TTTCTTTAATTTAACAAAAAATATTAAATTAATTTTTTAATTAATATTAGGTCCCTTTGCCATTTACCTAAAAGTTTTATTATGTTGAAGGGAAGTTCTTTCAAAATAAAGATTTTTTATGTAACATCCGATTTCTTTCTAATTTGCTATTGACCTTTAAATTTTTATTTTCACAAACTTAGCCCTCCAAATCATTCATCACGGATAGACCTCTCTTATTTGAATTAAACCCTTAAAGCAATTAAATTATTTTTCCTTAATGACTTCAATAAATGAGTTTGAATGATATGATTATAAATTTGATTGCTTTCGTTTTCAAATCTATTACACAATTGTGTACATTGATTTTGTAATTTGCAAATAATTTCATTAGATTTTAATTTGCATGGAAAGCACTATTTGAATTAGATTCATTCAACTATTAAATTTCTTAAGTCATTTTAAGTAAAATTAATAAATATCTATTATTTATCTTCTAGAAAATTTCACAAATAAGCTATTAGATCCTAATTCAAGAATGTGAATAAAAAATATTTGATTTACTTTTTCTCAGGTCATTGTACTTAAATAAACTTATAAATAAAGTTCAAATATTGTATATTTTCCATATATATGTATATATATAGCCTTGCCCTCTCTCTGAACATGGTCAGCAAGTGGGTTTGTAAACCATGTTTAGATTCAGGTTCGATGGAGCAGCAGTAGATGTTGAGAGTCGGGTAGAATTCTAAGAAAACTACAGCTTTCAAGTCTACGTGCGCAGGTTGCTCTCCTAAAAAGGTTCATATTTATGTTCCGATTTCTTCTGGCCCTACAAAGGTCGGGCGAATTGGTATCGTATATTCATAACATAACATATGAACAATAAGAACTAGAATTTTTATCGATACTGAAACTCATAGGAAAGAAAGTGGATTTATGGATGGAATCAAATACGCAGTATTTACAGAAAAAAAGAGGCCTGAGAGGAAGTGGTTTACCCTGTGGTGGCTGTCAGCAGTTCGAGTCCGCCCTAAAGTGTCCCAGCAAATCATCAATGATCTCACAATACACCCTCCTATAAGAATGAAGGGTGGCATCCAATTTCTACCTATTATTATGGTATCACAATTTGATGGAGTACAAAAAATAGCAGCTATGGTCTAACTAAAAGAAAAGTACTCATTAAGGGCTAAGCGTGAACCTTCACTCTCGCATCTAGCTAGCAAAAGAGGAAGCAAGGCCTAAATATATATAAACATTCCAACCGGTGTGAACCTGCCTACAAACTCGTCGAAAGGAGGGACAGAATATGTCTGGGATGATGAATACCAAGCTACATTTTACAGAATCAAATACTTGCTCAATCTGCCTGTATTGGTCCCGCCAGTACCAGGTTGACCACTTGTACTTCATCTCTCCACAACAAACAATGTTATCAAAGTGGGTTTTTTAGTTTTGGCCCAGTACGTTGATACAGGAAAGAAAGAGAGGGCAATCTACTCTCTCAGCAACACATACATATATACATACATACATACATAACATACACACACACATATACACATACACACACACATACGTATATACACAAATACACACATATGTATGTGTGTGTGTGTATTTTCACAACTAGACAATATTAGGGGTTGCAAATTGCAACTGAAATTTTCTTTCTATTGATAACATTAGAATTTGAAAACTTCGAGCCATGAAGATATATAAAATAAAAAAGATGGTTTGTTCAGTTTTCTTGATTATGTTATGTATAGGAACATCCAATGTTTTTCATGTAAAATTTATTTAAAAGTATTTTCAATTTGTAAAGCACGTGCATTTGAACGTGCAGAAGTGCTTGTTACTGTAAAATTCTAACCTTGATAACAAAATTCGATTAATTGAAAAAAAAAAGGTTAAACCATCACTCACCACACCATGGCCGTAAATAACTCGAAGAGCATCCCCGGCACTAATCGCATCACGTGACTCAATCGTGGTCACGCTGAAAGCCGACGACGGCTGCTTCTTCGTCCACTGAGAAGAATCAAGAAAGTCCTTCACTTTCCCCGAATGAGCGCAGCAGAACACGAAGACCTCCTCGACTCCCACCGATTCCAGCCACGCGAGGGAGTACTCGATCATGGGAACGTTGACGAGAGGCAGAAGAACCTTGCAAAAGAGATCGGTAAGAGAGGAGAATTAGGGCTTAGGGTTTGGGGGCTAGGGTTTGGGTTTTAGCTAGGGTTTACCTTGGGACGCTCGAGGGTGATGGGGCGGAAATTGGTGGCGAAGCTGTCGGCGAGGAGGACGGCCTGAAGAGGGCTGCAGGCGAGGTCGTCAGCGTCGGAGGAGGCGCGGCCGCCTTCCTTTCGCGCCATTTTTCTGACGGCGACAGGTCGTCAGCGTCGGAGGAGGCGCGGCCGCCTTCCTTTCGCGCCATTTTTCTGACGGCGACCGACCTCAAAACTAGAGAGAGAGAGAGAGAACGGAGGGCTTTGTTACTAGGGAGGGTTCCGTTTTATCGGGAGTTAATTTCAGGAACCTGGACGAGGGGGTACCCACATAGCTTCGTCTCACCCAGCCCCTTAAAAATGTTCGATATCACGACACCCCTCGATCATTGAAATCGCTATTAGATTCCAAATTCTTAAGTTACGCATTAAAAGACCAATTTCACTCATTAAGCATTTGTACGCTCTCGGTTGTTTTTCAGAGCATTTATATACCTGAGTTGTTAAAAGTTAGCATTTTAATACCTTCTATTATGTAAACGAAAAAAAATTTCACTTGAAATAACATTAACATATTGATTTTAGGCATATTGATTTTAGAGCTTTTTAGTCATTAATATCTGTAAAAATTTACTGTTTACCTATTCAAAAAAACATATTGTGATTCAATTTTTAAAATAAAATTTGGATAGATTTAACGGTAAATTTAGTAAATTTAATAGTGAAAAGTTATAAAATTAGCATATGAATGTTATAGGAGAACTTTCATATGAAAATTTTCATATTTGCATAAACAAGATACTTAAGTGCTAGTTTTAAACAACTTGGGATTTGTAAATGCTCTAAAAACTTACTAAGGGAATATAAGTGTTAAATTAGTGAAGTATAAGGTATCTTAGTGCAGTTTAGCTTTTTTAATTTTGTCCCACAAATCATTGCAATTTCTATAAGTTCCCCCAATTTGTATGAGTTAATTTGGAGTAAATTATGAGAATTGAATAACCTAATAGCAATTTCAATGATTTCAGGGATATATACAGAATTTTAAATATTTTAAGTGATTAATATTGAGAAAAACTTTTTATGAAATAAATAAGAAGGGTTTTTATATATATTAGTCCCTTAAATCTTTCATATTTTTAACGAGTCTATTAAATCATTGAAATTTTTGTTAGCTACCCCAATTCTTAAGATATTCTGAATTATTCACTTCAATCATTAAAATCGTTATTAGGTACTTGTTGATGCTCGATATCAAACAGCCAATTAATCCAGAAGAGGATGGTTGTGGGTGATGAAGGATGATGGAGGGCCTGCTCCCTTCTTCGACTATATGCTAGGTTCTTGAACTAGGATGTCTGGATCCGCTGCAAAGATCAGAAGAACAAACTCGTAAGAGGGCGGGGACTAGTTCCCCCGTGGTACCTCTGACGATCAAATCAGTTGATAAACGTGAGCTTGAGTGGAGTTTAGAACTATGTGTTCTTATGCTATATGCATTAGAGATGATCATCTCTCAGTTTAGATCAGGAGGAAGATTTAAATTGCTCCGAGAGTTGTTTGTTAGGTTAGATCAGGTTACCCTTTATTTTGATGGTGAACAGCCTCCATATATGGAGCGGATGTCCATGGCAGACTGGTTACTTCGGCCATGCAGAATGACGGTGACAAAGTGTGAGCTGGAAGGTGAGTCATCCCTCGCTCTACAGGTGTCGACTGGCGACTGGAGGGAAAGTCATCTCAGCATGGGAGATGGCGTCTCCGCGATATCCTGGAAGTGACTTGTGAGCGTAGCAGAAGGCACGCGGGCATTCTGAGTCGTCGCTTGCTTTACAGGTATCGACTGGCGACTGGAGGGGAAGTCACTTCAGCTTTGGAGAAGATGTCTCTGCTTTATCCGGGAAGTGATTGAGCTGACAAGTCGTGGAGACTTATCAGGCCAAAATCTGGATAAGGCTTGCTCGAGGTGGACTGAGATGTCGACATTTGCTCTGGGGGAGAGGCTTGAGGCCGGAGTCGAGTCCTCAACTTAGTCGACAGCAGGGAACGTTCCTTAAGTCGTTTCTGAGAAATGTCTAGTGAGTGATCGAGTGCCCTAAATAGGGTCGTTCTTAATAATATGGTCGACCGGCACCACCTTTTGTGTCGACTCAGGAGTGTCGGCTTGTATTGACTGGTTGGAATGTCGTCTTGTCTGGGAGTTCAGGATCTCTCGTACCGGCTAATATCGCCTCTTGTGTCGATACTAGGGTGTCGGCTTGATGAGTAGGTGGGGCCGAGACCTCTGCAATTGTGCCTTGGGTTTATCCCTGATAAGGTACCAAGGTCTTATAATCTAGCTATGATGGTCGAGTTGTACTGGAGGATTTGACTAAATGTTGTGCCTTGGGCTTACCTTGATAAAGAGTCAAGGTCTTAATATTTGACTGAGGAGTTGAATGTCTGAAACTCTTGAGAGTTGACTAGGGCTCTCTTTCCCCTAAGGCCGGGAGATGACTATGGGAGTCAGCCAAAGGGTTGAGCTTGTTTTGCTTAGGACTCTTATGATATCATTTCACAAATATTGTATCTTGGGTGGGTGAACACCATAACAGTTAGCCCCTTTCACTTGGAGTTGGCTTTTTTAGTCGACTCCGAGAGAAATAAGATATGCTCTTGATCAATACAGGTCTACTGAGGGCGAGAAACTGAGAAGTCTCTGTCTTAGAGACGTGGCTTGTCATTATTAGGCATTTATTGTTAACTCCGCTATTCGTGGCTGACATCATCAAAAGATCTGAACCATCTTTTTAGGAGATGAAGCGTCATGGATAGAAGGGAGGATCTTCCACTTTTCGAGTATTGGGACGTGGGGCGTTAAATGAGGCTGGCGCTTCGTGTTTCGAGTGAACCGCTTCAGATTCTGATGTGGATCTAGTCTGGTTGCTCCTAAAGTCTCCCCAGCAAATCATCAATGATCATCAAAAGATCTATACTCTTCCTTGAAAGTTTATAAATAGCTTTTTGATGGTAAGATAGTCCTATTCCTGATATTCCTCCAAGCTTCTTAAGAAAAAATCTTGCATGGCTTCCCAAGTTTCAAACTCTGGTCGTAGTGAGGAAAGACTCGCTATTCTTCTACTTCTTCGCTTGAAGGTCCATATGGAAGATCGGGTGGGGTTGTATCACTGATACAGTATTCCTCAGACTCTCATATTGGGGACGCCAGAGATGAACGAGCCAGTGTATTGTTATGGCGAGGGTCGAGTGCTGTTATACTTGGCCCACTTGGAGCATGGTTTACGGCTGCCCTTGCACTCTTTCATTAGGGATGTGCATGCTGCTTTGGGAGTCTCCTCTTCCCAATTCTACCTGAACGCAGTGGGGGTTCTGGTGGCTTTCATCATCATTTGCCACCGTATTGGAGTCCAACCAAGCTTAAGATTGCTTGGGCATTTGATCAGCATGGGGTCGGCTGAGAAGGACCCGCATTATATTTTTCACTATCGTGGTGAGTTCCAGCTTGTTTCTAATTCTTTGGAGTTGGATGAGGACTAGAGGAAGCGATTTGTGTGGGTCTATAGCGGCGACAGCGTCTTCGTCTGCTCGAACTTGGTCGGAGGTGAATGAAGACATTTTGAGGCCAGTCACCCTTAGCGATTCCGAGATGAGGGATCTGGAAAAGATATGTTCTTATGCCGGGTTGCGAGAGAGCGTTGCTCTATTTGTTGATGTGTTTCTCCAGACGGCTGGCATGCCCATGATCTTATCCTCCACTGGCTTCCAGGCAAGGACGAGCCATGTTCCTCTGTTAACAGAAAATCACAAGAGGAATACAGGGACTGAGAGGGCGAGCTCTACTACTAGACCCCATAAGAAGCTAGGGGGCTTTCAGTACAGAGGAGGTGGTTGTCTTGATGCCTCAAGCAGCTAACATTGCCTCTGAATTGAGGGGAAGGACAAAGGTTGAGAGGTGACGCCCAGTTAGACCAGTTGAGACAGGTCCGCTGATAACTCAGCTTAACTGCTTAGAAAATATGGGGCTGATAGATGAGTCTTCTCCTGACAGGGAGACTACGGCCCTAGTGGTCGATGAGGATGCTATCGGTCCCAGTACTAATCTTGAGGCGTCCTATTGTCCTGGCAAGAAGCCGATTGGGATGGATGACGGCATCGAGGGGAGAGCTGAAACTCCATCAGACCAAATAGAGAATGGTGCTGACAGGAGGATTTTGGAGGATATGCCAAGTGTTGGCATACATCAAGCTTGTCTAGCTCAGGGGACTTCGCTGGGACATGCCATGTTCAATCGACTTGAGCGTTCCCTAGAATGCCAAGGAGGGCTAGCAAAGGAGAAGTCGGCTAAGGAAGAGGCAGAGAAGAGAGTCGCTATCTTGGAGACCGAATTGACTCATAAAGTAGACGCTTGGCACTGGAGTCTGGATGAGAAGGAAGAGCTCCTTAAGATCTTTCGAATCCAGTTCTCCAAGTAGATGGGGACCATCGAGGACCTTAAAAGGGAGATGGTTCACTACAGGCGGAGGCCGAGTCCGAGAAGCGACGCAGGATGATAGCTGAGGCAGAAGCTCAAACAAGTCGTCTGTCTCTCGAAAAGACGATGTGGGACTTTGAAGAGTTATAATCAAAGCTTCAGGCATCCATGGCCTTTGTTGAGAAATTAAGGGACCAACTAGCTCATCTGGATTCGGAGCAGTATAAAAAGAAGGTGGTCGACGACTAGCGTCATGGTCCTATAGGGAAGGTTGAAGTAGCTTTAGCATGTAAAGCTGGGGTTGATTATTTCGGCTCCTTGGTGCCTCATAACTCTCATCCGACCCTAGATTGCTTCTATCCTTCCTGCGTCTCCTGTTATCTCGATTTATTAAAAGATGTCGAGAAAATTAGAGGCAGGTTGGATTTGTCAGCGAATGACGATAAGGTCAAGCTTGTCGCTGGGGCCCCCGGGGAATCTTCTACAATTGCCACCACAAGGAGTCCGTTAAGTCCGACTCCTGAGTCTGGTTGAGAGCTTTGACGACATGCTTGTTTCTCTTCTCTTTCTTTCTCTTTTTGTAAAGAAGTTTGTAATGAAATTTACTCTTATTGAATGAAAATTAACTTTTGTCTTCGTTCTTGAGCTTGCCTTCATTGTTTGCATTCTTTTAGCTTTGTAGCTTTGTTTTCATCTTAGGCTTTGTGAACACTTTTTTGGCAGAATGGCAACCCTGAGGTTGGGTGCCTAGGTCTTATGGAGGTGCCTAGGTCTTCATAATCCATGTATGGCCGAGTAGCGACTTTGGGAGTCCGCCATAGGGTTGTGCCTTGGGCTTACCT